TTTCGTATTGATTGTTGATATTACCATTGGAATTGCTTTGAGCATTATTCCATGAGCGGAGTTTTGAATTAAATTCACCAATAATGTTGAATTTAGACCTATGACGGGTAAGTTTCTGAAGGTCACCCAATTCTTTTGCTGGCCTACGCATTGGAATGGCAAATAGGCAGCTACACGGACAGAAAATTGTTTGCATTGAACCAAAAAAAAACTTTATTTGTATTTAAACAAACAATTCCGGTTGAAATTATATTGCATTTTGTTGTTTCAATAAAACTTATTCAAATAAATTCAAAATAGGATTCTTTTTGTTTTAATAAGCCACTCTTCAACTGCAACTATTGTTAAAATAACAATATTCTTTTATTAAGCCAACAATAGTTAATTTTAATTTTGCATTTATTTGTTGTGACCGTTCCTCGGGCCATGACTGCAAAAATAACTACCAACCATTCCCTCGTTCCCGGACAAAAATGTAAACAATAACACAAAACTGTTCTCGTTTGATTCAGTTTTTTCCGCGTTCGACGTAAATATTGTTTTTAAATTTCGGGAAATCTTGAGACTTGAGGTAAATATAAACAGTTTTTCTTTATTTTTTTCGTTGATTTTTTTTCCGTCGATCTTGTTTTCCGTACTGAGTACCAATGCTCCCGACGCCAGGAGGCAGCTCCCACACCTAGACCCTACCTATCGACCCATCAACTCATGAACCGGAGAGATTTTATGCCTCAGAAAGGTTTTTTTTTTAATTCAATTGCAATTCTGTTTGTTACTAAAAGAAAACAAAACATTATTGAATCAATAAACATATTTTTATTTCTACTGTGTATATTTTCAGGCTTAATAAAATAAATATGATTGAATCAACAAGAAATCTCTTTTAAAAACAAACATATTTTTTTGTTGACCCAACTACCAAATTTGACAGCCAGTCAAAACCATGAAAGCTCTTGTAAATTCGAAAAGATTTTCTTTTTGATTTAACAATCCATGGGTTTTTAGAAACAAAGATGCTGGATTGTTGAAATAATAATGATTTCTTTTTACAGCCAAAACAAAATGAAATACTTATTAATTTTACGTCAAATATTATTACGTTTAAAATATTTTTTTCTTACGTTTATAAGTTTTCCAAATTTTGTTTCAACAGAAACTCATAAAGCTTCAAAAACTTTGGTTTCAAATGAAGAAAGAATGTTATGCTTGATTCGTCTATGAACAATGATGCCAACGCCACCATCAAGACGATCATTTCTATAAATGAAATAATTTGCGTCCCTTTTAACCTTATGGTTATGTTTCGAGAACGTTTCTGTTATAACGGAAATATGCACGTTGTGATTTCTCAAAAAGTTAAATAGCTCGTCTTCATTATTTTTAAGAGATCGAGCATTCCAATTTAAAATACTTAACGATTTAAAACCAATTCTGAATTTCAGAGACATGACAATATTGTTTGCAAATTTTACTCCAGTTTGAATAGCATCAAACATAGAGTTAGTGTTTAGCGTATCATTAATCATGTCAATAAGATTTCTGTAAAAATTCCGTTTTGGGAGCAGTAATGGTTCCTAAGTCAAAATTTTCGAAATTTCCGTTAGAATTTTGTTGGCTTGTAGGGAAAATGGATGTAATGTCGGCCTAAATGCCCCTAATTTGAGCCCATACATAAATTCAGCAATCGGCTAAATTTTCTATAGCGACCAAAAATATCCATTAGTACCGTCCCAATGACGCGTTCATCTTGATAAAACTGATAAATAGCAGATTTTTAACGATGGGCCCAATCTTAGATCCATAGGCCAACATTAGAGCCATTTCCCCTATTTTGATTTCTACCCACTGCAATAGCAGCATAGGTAGCTCCATTTACTCGCTGAATATTGTTAGCAGCGAGGGGAGCAGGTGTAGATGAAGAATTTGAAGCAGGGGTGATATTTGAAGGAATGTAGAATTTCTCGCTTAGAACGAGATTGTAGGATCGCTTTGCGAGTCTTACATTCCCAAAAAAAAAATGGATTTGTGGTTTTCACCACAATTTGAACATTTAAATTTCTTAGGATCTTCCTTCACAGGATAGTCGTCCTTTGCGTGAGAGGAACCACCGCAATTCATGCATTTAGCTGGCATGTAGCAATTTTTGGTTCCGTGACCCGATCCCTGGCACTTACGGCACTGGGTGAGGTTTTTCTTCCAGTCTTCCTGAAGTGGTCTCACTTCATTCGGACATGGAACATAAACGCTAACTTTTCCCAAGGCCTTAAGGTTGTTTAGTTCACTAAACAAAAATCATTAGAAATCCCGTTGCGCGAATCGCCAGGACGGGATTTCATTTTCATTTTGATTACTTGGACTGGCACAACTCCAAGTTATTTTTCCAGTTCATCTTTGATCTGATCCATGGATTCACCACTGGGCAGTCCTTTCATGACAACCTTGAACACATGTTCAGTTTTGGTGTCGTAAGTAAAAATGTATGCTGCTTCTCAGTAAGATACTTGAGCAGACATTTGAATCCGTCCAAGGTTTCAGCCAATACACGGCATCGGCATTTACCCCGACGGCCAATTTGCAGTGAAAACTTAAATTTCACGAAGTTCAAAAGTTCCGTGCGAAGAGCATGGAAATCGGAAGTGGTCATCACAATAGGGGGAATCTATTCCTTCTTAGCATTAAGCCGGCATTAAGTTTACTAGTATTTTTCCTGGATGATGGATCATTCTCATCATCCGTGAGCAAATCAAATCACACTTCGCCGTAGATGGTCTGCAATACCTTCAGTTCGAAAACACGAGCATAGTTCAAGTCTCGCGGCCGTAGAGGACCACCGGTCTAATCAGCAAATTGTAGATAGTCAACTTCGTGGTGCAGCAAATTTTTATTCTATCGGAGCGTTCTCCGGAGTAGGAACGATTCCCTCCTATAATGCGTCTTTGAATTTCGACCACCTCGATTTCGTCCCCGTCAATCTGAACTCGAGTTGGGAGGTAAAAATGGTTTTTCCTAGAACCGCTTCCTCTCATGTATTTCGTCTTCGATGCTTTGATGGCAAGTCCAATCGGCCTAGCTTCAGCCTTTAGTCTACTGTACGTTTCCACCATCGTCCCAAAGTTCCGTGCCATGATGTCGATCTGCAAGACAAGACGCTGGATGAACTTCCTGAAGATCGTGTTTCTCGTGTCTATCCCAGCTCTACTTATCACGCATTAGAACGCGATGTTAAATAGCTGACATAGCAATGTTGGATAGGATGAGGAGAACAAAAAGTTCACTTTTCCCATAAAAAATCCCGTATTTCAAAGGGCCAGTATGATTTCGCAATCAAATGACCTCAAATTTTTGGAGAATGGTCAGAACCTGATAGAGTCGATTGAGTATAATATAATATAATACTCGAGTAAAATATAATATATAATAGTATGGAGGTCCAGCCTGGATTACAGCGCTGCAAACGAAGCGGAATTAATCGAAGTTGAACAGAAAATTTAGTCTTATGGCCATGTGAGTTGTGAATGCATACATACTTAATCACGGCTTCCCTGTTCGGTAATTTTTTTTACAGTTTTCGAACTAGTTTTCGAAATTACCGATTATTCAGCTATTCTCAATAGAACAACTTACTGAACTTACCGTAAAATAACAGTTTTGCAGATAATGACTATAAATTCGGCTGCCCAAGACTTGAGCCTTTCTGCCGCGATAATGAACTGGCTCTAAATTATTTAAAAAAATAGGTGGTATATTGGAATTTTTAACGAGAAATCATCAAAAATTAATAAATGTAAACAATAGAAGATGCATCGATTGAATGACCTGTATATATACACTTAGAAATTATCGCAAACTTCGGTAATTTTTACCGAAATCTGAACAGCTGAACTTTTCGGTAAAATTTATGCAATTCAATTCAATTGCTTTTCAGCTTATTTGAAACTAAATCTCCACTAAAATGACATGATTTGATCATTCAAACAAGGTTGATCATGTTATGATATTATTTTCAAATTCAATAGCCTCTCAAATGAAGGTCAAAATTTTACCGAACGTTCAGCTGTTCTGATTTCGGTAAAATTTACCGAACACGGAAACAAAATCTTAGCTTAATTGACTGATGAAAAAATATTCAAGGACAAGGTTGATACAATCTACAAATGGACATTGCCATATGGCTGATTTGCCTGGTAAAATTAGCCATGATAGCGGCCATTTGTTGATTCTATCTATCTTGTCCTTAGCGGCGCCGGTGGTGTAGTGGTAAGCGTGATTACCTCTCACCCCAGCAGGCCTGGGTTCAATCCCAGTAGGCGCCGCCGGCATGTTCTGAGGCATAACATCTCTGGGAAGGCCGTTGGTCCCCGGTTCATGAGTTGATGGGTCGATAGGTAGGGTCCAGGTGTGGGAGCTGCCTCCCTGGCGTCGGTAGCATTGGTGCTCAGCACGGTAAACAAGATCGACGAAAAAAAAAACATGGAAAAAGCAATAAGTGTTCCTTTTACCCAGAGAATGTCTGGCATATAGAAACTATGCCACGAATATAATTGCAAAATTCTATGTGTGGAAAACATAGAAACAATCATTGACTTTTTCTCAGTGTAGGAAACATAAATTTGGATTATTATTTCTAGGAGGAGCAAAAACAGATTTTAACCGTCCTAAAAATTTTCTCTAGTAAAAGCAATGGTAACGGGGCGTACAGCTATCCCATCACCTCTTCCGTTTGCACGGGCTTTGATTAGTTTGTCTTCGTTTACGGTACTCTGGTGCTCTTTTCAACGCCAATATTTTCAGTGACAGCTTGTTTGTCTTGATTCGTCCCAGTCGGTGAATATTTTGTCCTTTATTATTTAGCCTCTATAGGGAAAAAAAATGAAAACCATCTGTTCTACTTTTCAAATAAAAATCGCATTTCTTATACAAATGGATACGAACAAACATCTAAAATAATTATGAAAAAATACTAGGTACATATACACGTACTGATTTATTAATTTCCATACCTAATCTAATTCTCACATTTTGAATCCTTCTGCCTGTAAAATAAAAAGAATTAAATATGAATAATCAAGTGATTATAATGATTGTAAATCCATCGAGAGAGGAAGAAATGCGACGCTATACCCAAGGGCGTCCCTGGCTACGACTATGACTTTGCCACTTTTTCGATGAATCCTAACAGGAAGAGGAGACAATTGACTTCTTTTTTGTCTGTGACTTGTTCTTCTTCTCTCGCGGAAACGACCGTGCATAAACTAGTTCATTATGGGCAATAGACTGATGCAAAATTTGAAATTTTCGCAAACTTCAAATGGTTTGTGCCAAGTCAGTTTCTTATCAAATGAGTTAAAACTTTCGGAGGCTAATCAGGACCCGATTTGAAACCGATTAAACACTTTGGAGCGAAAATTTCAAATTTTGCATCAGTCTAATGGGCAACGCAGTCGACTGTCAAAATACAAGAAAATAGATTCCCTGTTGTAAAAATTCTTGCGTTTCTTTCTATACGTTCGCCCGACCAATCAGGTGCGCGTTTGACAGATAAAAGTCCCCCTATTGTCTCCTCTTCCTCTTAGGGTGAATCATAAATATTGCCTTCAACCCCATTTGTTTTGTGAGAATCGTAGACGTCTCTAAATTCCGACAAAAAGTGAAGGTGAATTATATGATGAATAGATTATACCATTATTTCATGAACCCACCGCTAATAATTCTGCATGTTAGATAAGTTTATCAGTGGCCTGTTTAGTCTTATAATGCACTGAAAAGTAATGAATACTGATACAAAAATGAGTGAGTAAGGAATTGTGTTTACACTGCTGCTAAGAGAATACAGTCTGGTGATCTAATTTAGATGACATAATCTAAATATACCGTCTGGTGGTTATTTTGGACACATTTAAATTCGTTGAACAAAATTAAGTACTGCAATATACTCTATCATATAAAATCGTTAGCAAATATCATTGTTGAAACTTGTAGAAACATTCGCAAGCTCCTTTCGGGAGTCGATAAACATTCGCAATACCGGATAGTGCAGGATATTCCATGTGAACATGGTTTATAGCAATGGTATGGCCATAGAGTAAATGTTTCTCCATATCAAATCTTCGCCATACCGAAAATTCATGATTTTTAAAATGTTCTGTCAAACCAGTAATCTGACTGACCTGACTTTGAGTTTTGTACAGGTTGTTTTTGGATGAAGTCCATTTAATTATCAACACATGAAAATTCAACGCGTGTCCAAAGCAGCCCCTCTGTTAACATTTTCGACTGCGGCTTAATGGCTATAAGGCGAACTTTTTCTACAGTCACTCTAGTCAATCATATGCTTCTCATTACACACCATAATGGCATACCTATTGGATGTACACCACATCCTATTGTTATCTACTTTATTTATTTTATACGTACATCTTAAAGTTTGCTTTCATCAAAAAAAGTCTCAAAAGAAGCCCTGTCCGACGGTACAAGCCTAAAAAATTCCTTCTTATTTAAATTAAGACGTATCGCCATCTGAGCGGTGTTTTTGAAATAAGGATGCATTAATGCTATCCTACGTTGAAATTATAACTAAATTATTATATTAATTTATTTCGTGGAAACAGTGTACAAATCGCCGGAATCGGGAATGAATCAGAGGTTACTGTCGACATCATTAGTGTGTTATCACATGTAGAATATACAAAACAAAATATAGTTACCATTATTCTGCGTCGCTCTCCTTTGCGAGCCACGGCGTTTTTGGGGTGGTGGGGTTTCGGAATCATTTAACCTAGGTTCGCTTGTGCAGTGTCCCTTCGAGTCTTGAAGGGTGGTAGAAGGTGGTTGTGGTTTCCGACGCACCTGTAAAACAATGAGTAATAATAAAATATTAGCAGAACCTAGACAGTACGGTTATACCTGCTCATCGTTCACAACGTTAACGCTTGATTTGAGTTGAATCAGATGGCATTTAACCGACAGAGAGTGATGGCGGTAGTGATTTATGAATGTGTTCAATGTGTTCAATAAAGAAATATATTTTAGTGTAATGTATGTATGCTTATTAGACTGATGCAAAATTTTAAATGTTCGTTCCACGGTGCTCAAACGGTTCCAAATTTCGTCCTGATTCGCCTCCCAAAATTTGATCTCATTTAATAATTACTAAGGGAAAACAAATAAGTTCGTTCATATCTATCTCAAAATTTACCATTTAGGGAAGAGCGCTACTTCGTCGTAATCGCCCATTTCCGTTCTATCGCGCAGAAATCATCAATAATATCAATGATTTCACCATGCCCAAAACAATAATACGTTTGTTTCGATCCGTTAGTTCATAAGCCACAACATGAAGCCTATTACAGCGCATTGTATGAATATTTACACTCGTTGTTCTCAAAACAATAGAAGCGCTTCTAGCGAATCCACTTTTTCTACCATCATCCGCAGGACGAAGAAAATCTAATGGCGTTTCAATGCGTTAGGACGGAATTGAAACTCGTAGGACGAATTTAGAATCAAGAAGCAGTGTTAGATTTTTAATAATATCTCCACATTGTTTGACTCTTTATCAAATCCAACGGTACGTATGGAAAGGTGAATAAATTTAGAAGTTATCTTTAATGAAAACAATCCATGTTTTTTTCAAACCCTTTCAAAAAAGAGAGGTAAAGTGCGGGATGTGCTTAGTAGGACGGAAATTAGATCCAAAACCCTATCTCTGCTTTTAAAATTGATGACTATGCTACAACTTTGTTAAACAATTTTTAGATCGAATGTGAGGAACACAAGTTATTAATTATGATCACTGATGTCTTATGATTATACTCAATCAACTGTTAAGCAGGCAACATTGGTGTTTCTAGCGCCTAGAATGGAGCACAAAAATCATGGCTACTATGTCACACTGCACAATACAGTGTTGCCTGATCATGACATAATCAATTTCTTAAACACATAATAACAGTTTATTTAATTTGACGTTTGGCTGAATCTTCTGCAAAGCTGTTGCTGATTAAATTTCCTATAAGAATTGCTATAGAACTTTTTAACAGTGCACTATCGCAAAAGTTTTTTTTTTTCTTTATTAGAGAGATTTTTAGCCATAGGCTAGTTCATCTCTTATACTATCGCAAAAGGCTAGACGACATTGAACACAAAGTTTGGTTTTCCCATAGTAATTTCCATATAAACTTCAAATGGTTTGTGCCAAGTCAGTTTCTTACCAAATGAGCTTAAACTTTGGAACGTTAATAAGGACCCGATTTGAAACCGATTAAGCACTGGAGCGAAAATTTCAAATTTGGCATCAGTCTAATGCTTATACACCCAATCGATAAATGCATATTCGCATGATAAGAATACATAATTTGCAATGTTTCACAGCATGAACAGATTCTGTAATGTGGTCATCGGAAGGTTTAGTGAATAATTTTGTAATTTTAATGATAGTTATATTTTCGAGTTAAGTTCGATTCTACAAATGCATTGTAACCAGTTGGTTACAATTCGTGGATTTTCGTCTGTATGGGTTGTTGTTGTTTGGAAAATTCGCGTATTTTAATATCAAAGACAGAAGGCAACACACAGCAGCGAGAGGGTTAGTACCGCTGCAAAAACATTCGAACGATACTAAAGGGAGGAAAATCGTAGTCTTAAGCTAACATTGGAGAAGTAATCAGGCGTCCGTGTAGACCAGTTGAGTGTGATGTGCAGTGCAAATAGAATACAATCTCCCCACCTTTTTGGGGTATGGGATGGAAAGCCTGTTCAGGACCTTGTACTTCGTACCGTTAATAAAACGGTCTCACACGGGTCGTCTCGGAAGTCAAGATGGCTTCCGAGTCTAATAGTAAATGATCCTCGATCGTCCGGACGATCGGACGATTCCCTCAGGCCGGTGGCCTTAATTGTCAAGAAAGGTCCCGTCTCGGCTCGACCAGGGTGGCCATGCCACGGTCAGCCGATGTTGTCAACGACGGAAGACGCCTGCCAGCCAAATGAGCCAGCAACGCCTGGTGAGCCGTATGTGGCTGATATTTTGCCACCATATCTGCCATTCTTCCAAAGCAGCAACAACATTGTTTGCAGCTCGCACCGTAAGTTTCCGGCCACAGGGTAGTGCAGGAGCACCCGTGTGGGCCAACGCCAGCGTCGTGACGCCGAAGGAGATTCTGCTGCAACAGTGAGTACCGTAATAGCTTCATAAAGTCTCGCTTACACGCCACACAAATATGTGAAAACCCACACCCACACGCCACAGAAAAAGGGCAATAAATGTTTCAATAAATGTGAATGTTCCTGTGTTTTCATACTTTTCCCGCGTAGCCCCTCCGAATACCCAGTAGCATGCCGGCCCTGCGACACAGTTGCGACACAGTTCAGGGGTCTCATGCTACTGAGCTAGTTACCTGGGAGTGTTCCCAAGCAACCAAAAGTTCGGCATTCAACGATTAAAATCACTTCCAAGTTCCGTAAAGTTCAAATAAAGTTCCGACCGAACCTTCAAGTTCCATAAAGTTCAAATAAAGTTCCGACAGAACTTTCAAGTTTCATAAAGTTCAAATAAAGTTCCGACAGAACTTTCAAGTTCCATAAAGTTCCAATAAAGTTCCGACAGAACTTTCAAGCCACATGAAGCAATCCGCACAAGTCTTTATTAGTAACCAAATTTAATGTACGTAAATATGAAATGATCAGTGGCCTGAATAAATCATAATTCTTATATTTATGCAGTGCATCAACATTCTATCCAAACATAAAAAAATTAAAATTAAAAAGTTATTTCCTGGATTCGAACCCGTGTATTCGGGCATGCGATCTACGAAGGCTAACCACTGCGCCACAAATGCGTTGGAATACCATGCGGACAAACACCAATTTAAAATTCATCAAGGTGTTGTGTTTCGTATTCAAGTCAGTCAGCTGGCACTGAAAACTCCAACAGCTCACTTTATTATATCTCAGATGACGCAGCGGTTCGTGCTGGGGCTCTCACGCCGAAGGACTGGGTTTAATTCTTCAAACAGGTCTAATTCTACTTCTAATGCTGATAATCGATACACATTAATACCTGCCTTTAAAAATAACTTTCATAAAAGTGCGAAATAAACATAGAATTGGTGTAGAGCACAAAAACTTTTTTTAATTTATTTTCTAAAAGTTCCGTTCAAGTTCCGCCAGAAGCTGCTTATAGTACGTTCAGACTACAGAGTTATAACATGTTATAACTCTCCAGTCTGTACAGCGTTTAAGAATGCTCTTCAATTATGATATCGGAACTTTCAAGTTCTTATAACGACTTAAAAATGAGGCTGCTTAGAATTTTATAGATCACCACCAACCAAGCTGCTTAAACCACAAATAGCCTTTTATCAGAACTTTTGGTTACTTGGGTTTGGTCATGTTATAGTCACAGCATTGCGGCTAGAAAACCATCCAATGAAGGTTTAATACTATAATATTCTTTCTGGAAAAAACTTGCTTCTACGCTCATGTCTATTGTAAGAAATTCCATTATTTTTGTTATAAGAAAAACAAATGCAGAGGATGACATAGATCCTTACATTTGATGTTCGTCAAGTTTGTTTTGTGTGAGGGTAAATTATAGCTTCGACAATCCCCCTTATTGTGCACCGCGAGTCAGGTGAGGTGACTCGTTGTCACAAGTGAGGTGACAAAAGTCACCACGAGTTAGGTGACTCTCCGTGCAAATCAAATAGAAATGAATAAGTCGACATTTATGAACTAAATACAGTGGTGACCCGATTTTGTCAGCCCCCGATTTTGTCTACCCCCGATTTTGTCTACCCCCGATTTTGTCAGCTTTTTGACCCGATTTTGTCAGCCTATATGATTCAATTAGTTTTGGTTGAGGTGGACTGTTTTGTACAGTCGTATTCGTATTTTATTGATTGTCTAGCTCAATAATGACATTTCTCGAGAATTAAATGTGCAGTGGTGGCAAAATCAAAGCAGGGGAAGGGGGGTTGAGGGGCTAGTTGAAAATTATGTATGTTATGCATGTGTTTTTTTCTTTCTTTTTTTTATAGTTAGGTTTAGGAAAGCTTCAAGAAGCCTAGCCTGTAGTGAAGTTGGCACGGTGTGGTATCCACTAGTTGCCTAGTACAGCTCCACTAAAACCCTTTCCTTACTCTCTCCTCTGCCTGGATCCCCCGGGACGACTGTAAAGCGACTACTTCGAGGGGTGGCTGTGCTCATGCACTTGTTGTACTCTCAGCGCTAGCTGGCGTTGCTAGATCGCTGCTCTTCTCTCCATTTAGGCTGCAGCTCTGACATAATCTGCGTGACTGCCCTGCTGACGGCATTCCAAGTGTCCTCCTCTCGACACATTTCAACGACGACATTCTCCACGTTAAGGACGGGCATCTCCGTTCGCACTGCCTCGAACCTTGGACAGTCGAAGACCACATGCTCCGGCGTTTCATCGACGTTGCCACACTCCGGACAGAGGGGTGACGCTGCGTGTCCGAACCGATGCAGGTATTTCCTGAAGCAGCCGTGGCCAGACAGGAACTGCGTTAGGTGGAAATTGACTTCTCCGTGTTTTCTGTTCACCCAGGTCGAAAGAATCGGTATTAGTCTTTGTGTCCATCTACCGTTCTCCGTCGTGTTCCACTCCTGTTGCCACTTAGCCAATGACTCCACTCTCACAACTTTTCGTACTCTTCCGACTTCTCTCCGCCTGTAGCACTCGCTGTCCTCCGCCAGGGTGATGCCGATTGGGATCATACCGGCGATAACGCATACTGCTTTCGACGAGATGGTTCTGTACGCATTCACGATTCGCATGGCCATGAGCCGGAACGTACTACTCAGTTTCCTTTGGTTCTGCTTCGTTTCTAGCGCTGGAACGCAGGCTGGACCTCCATATCTCAGTATCGATGATGACACGCTGGCCAGAAGACGCCTCTTGCTACTGCTGGGACCAGCGTTGTTTGGCATGATTCTAGCTATCGCGTTAATTTTAGTTTGAATATGTCAATTGTTATACTGACATGCAGGTTAGAAAACCTGTTTAAAAAACGTTATTGCCAAGGCAGGAACAATGTAAAAACATTTAGATATATATCATAACAATTAAGGCTGGTAAGTTACTGTAGTAGCTGGAGCACCTAGGTTAAAATGAGATGTAATTTATTTGGAATTTGGAACAAATAAAAAAAAATAAAAAAAAGGATCTCAAGCAACGTGTGTAGGTTTTCTACCCTTTTTGCAAAGAAGGGTGCGTGTAGGCGTTTTTTTTATAGTAAGCAGAAAAAGGTTCAAAAGCTTGGCCTGTAATTTTGTTTTGTTGTGCTGTTAGGAAAGAGCTTACAAAGTTTTGTTTACAGGCCCAATGCTGCCATTCAAAAGCAGTTTCTATTGTTTGAACTCCGCAAGTTAGGTTGGTCGTGAATTTGCTATGATTTCATTCGTAAACGATATCGTATCACATCGCATTGATTCAATAGTACTATTGTCATCCTTAAATTTATATACACCATCTAGGCATTTACGAAATAGAAATCGTCATCGTACGAATTATGCCAAATTTGGACTCTTGAACCAAATGATGAACACATATAATAAGCACTGCGATAACATTGACTTTACAATGACAAAAACCAAATTAAACCAATATTTTAATTCCTCGCTAGAAGTATTTTTTTTAAACAACTTAAACAACTTTAGACAACAATTGTAAAACGGTCTACACTGATTGACGACAAATAAATATATAAATAAATAAACTGTTGGTCAAGAGATCAAATTCGTTCGAGAAAAAATGATTTTTCCATGGTTAGGAATCTTAACAACCCCCCTCATCTATTGAGGAAGTCCCATTGACAATAGATGCTTTTGTGTTAAACAATTAATTGTATTGGTCTGGCAATAAAAAAAAAATGGTAGCTACAAAATATTTTATTGGATTGTAAAAATAGCTTCACCATTACTGATAGCGTGCGCCAGGCGAGTTCGAGAGAAAACGTCAACCAAACTGTTTTAAAAATGCAATTTATAACATTTTTAATTAAACACCTTGCCTGTTTCCATAGGCAATTGTCTTATTTTACAATTTTCAGCCTCAACTTATCACATAAGAAATCAGGATAATCGAAAATAAAATGTATCGAATTCGAGAAATCGATAAAAACGTACCCCGTTTTTTGCGAAAAGCTTGTTAAAAAACTGTAATTGTTTACCCTTAAGGCAAAAGTGCGTAGTTTGAGAAATAATATGATTGCCATTTCGTCGTACCAACTATGGTGCAAACCGTGAGATTCATGGCCTTTTGCAATTTCTCAAGAGAATAGCTTGTGTTTTTGTTTTCTATTTTCCCGTGAAACGTTGAAGAATAAGTTTTTAACTACCTTCAGACGATTTGTGTAATTTAAACTAAATTATTTTTATCATTTTGGCCCTGTGTGGTCTGTTGATAGTATTCCCAAATAAACAAATTCCTTACTATCTTTTCAGAATTCTGAAGAACTTTCAGAATCGAGTACAGGTCTACGAGACAGACATGGGGCCGATATCGATTAGCATCACTTCCACAAGGATCCATCCTTGGAACACGTAAGCTTGAACAACGGCAGACACGTAAGCTGCCGCCTGCCGCGAGAAGAAGTTGTAGCAGTCAGAAATTAGGAATACAAGTTTTCGTTTAAATTCTAGTTCCACCTAACCATCAGTTAAACACCGTGCAATCTTTCGTAAGAAAAATGAAAAATTGATTGTACCGTCAAGGGCGTAGCCAGGTTTCGAGCTAGGGAGGGGCGAAAAAATTACTATGGAAAATTTTACCGAATGCCATTTCACCGAACGCCATTTCCCCGAAAGCCTTTGTGTTGCTGAGTTTAGGGGAGACAGTCGCTCCCCTCCTCTGCCCCCTCTGGCTACGCCTATGTGTACCGTAACCGGGGTGAAATTGATTAAAATGTTTTTTTTCAGCTGTCGAACATTTTCGGCAAAAGATATCAAGAGAAATCTTCATAGATTTTCATCAAAGACTCTAATGATTGTTGTAATGAATTTTTCTCAAAAAATATATTTTATGATATTTTACTGCATAAATTTCAATTTTATTTTACTGGCGTTCAAAAGCTTACTATAGTATCATTCATAGGGTTGCAACGACTGATGACATTAGCTTGCAAGTGGATTTTGGACTAAACTTAGTGTCACAGAAGTATTTTAAATATTACGAAGGAAAAGTTGTCAATGCCAAAAAGGTAGAGGATTTTCGTAAAATTTGTAACGGTTATTAAAGAAATTGCCTACATTTAGGAACAACTGTTTTATATGTACTTTATACTTTCATCGCTGATTTCTCCAAAACTGTAACTCAATCACGCAAACTAACAATACCATCTGACAGCGGAGAAGTTCATCTATTTATTAGTAATATTGATTTATGTAATTGAGATGCAGTTGCCAAAAACTCATCGATGAAATTGTGAAGTGTAGTGTGCATATAATCGAGGTATACCTGCACTTAATGAAATCTATTTTGGCATTTTTAAACGTATAATGATTCTAAAATCTAATTTGGATTCAGGAAACCCACATTTATAAAGCACCTGTTCTGTAAATGCACTGGTAAGCTATTTGAAGGGTAGATTAATTTCACCCCATATCAACATTTTCGAATTAGTGATTTGTAAAATTTTCTAAAAATAAGCAAAAATCCAAAATGATAAGCAATTATGTAAAACGATAGAGTCCACAGGGGCTGTTCATAAACTACGTAGACACATCAGTGGAGACCCCCCTGGGTTGGCAAGTTTATACAGTCCACACAAATTTCCAAAAAAATGTATGGACGTCTACGCGGTGTGAGGGGGAGTCCAAATCCTCCAACATTTTAGGGGAACTTTATGTTAATTTATCTAGTATAAGTATACTGTCACTGGGGTTAATATTTTACCTGTTTACCAGAACATGAATAAAATAAAACAAAAACGACCTACGTAGTGTATGAACAGCCCCATAACTACACTATTTTAATAATAGTTATCAATTTGCCCCCGGTTTACGGTATCAAAAACTGTTCTAGATAATTTCAATATAGGGTAGAGCGCTACTGCGTCGTAATCACCCATTTCCGTTCTATCGAGCACAAAACATCAATAATACCAATGATTTCACCATGCACAAATCAATAATTCTTTTGTTCCAATGCGTTAGTTCATTAGTTACAACACAAAGCCTATAAGAGCGCATCGTATGAATATTTACACCTATTGTTCTCAAAACAAAAGAAGCATTCCTAGCAAATCAAATTTGCTGCCTTCATCCGTAGGACGAAGAAAATCCAATGGCGTTTCAATGCGTTTGGACGGAATTGAAACTCGTAGGATGAATTAGGAATCAAGAAGCAGGGTTAGATTTTTATCAATATCTAAACAATGTGTGACTCTTTATCAAATAAAATTAAATAAATTTAAAAGTCATCTATAGTAGAATCATTCCATTTTTAGTTCATATCCGCAAAAAAAGAGACGTAAAGCGCGGGTTGTGCATAGTAGGACGAAAAAAAGAGCAAAAACCCTATAATCGGCATTGAAACAGATTTGAGAAATTTCTAGATTTGAATGGTGCTTTTTGAATCAAATTTATTGAATCATAATCCTGGAGATAAGGAATTTAAGTTAATTTTCAGATATTAAAATAAAAATGGTTCATCTCATCGTAGATTGAATATTTTTGTATGTATGGTCTGCTTACCGATCTTGGTCCGGTTATACGGGCACTTTGAGACCTTGTGGCTGGCCTCCGTCTCTTATATCCTGGAGTGCCGCCCTCCGGTGTGCCACTCTCCGATGGAGGGCTCACTATAGTTTCCAAGCTTGCACATGCGGGCGCTGATATTGATGAGCTTCGTTTTTTGTACGGTGGACGATTACTTGATGGTGTATCATCTGCCATAGCCATCAATTCCTCTAATACAGCAGAAACGCCTTTGTTGTTTTTTGGTATTGAACCGATCCGATACACTTACTTTGGAGTAGGTGGGATTTTTGACTTGTTTGGAGATATTCACATATCTGAAATGAAAGAAGCATAGTTATCCGGTCACACATTATTTTAATACTGTTAACTGTTATGATTTGTTCATTTCTTAACCGACTCCCATTGTGATACGTTTGTCCATCGGCAGTGATGGATCGCTCTTTTGGGACTTTTTCATTACTTTTTGTTATAGAATAACGTAAAATCCAGTTGAATTTTCAGTTAATCGATCGTAAAATAGACAGTTTAATGCTTTTATCTCCTTATCAATATGCAAAATTTCCGCACCGTAGAACCACACTCTGTGTAGTCACTGAAGGTGCATTCGACAGCGCTCTCAAGTGCACCTTCATTAAAACCACAGAGTGTGGCTCTGCGGTGCGGACATTTTGAATTTAGATAGGGAGATTAATTGTCATCTAGATAAAATTGATAAATACCAGATCTTTAGCGATGGGCCCAATCTTAGATCCATAGGCCAACATTAGAGCCATTTCCCCTATAGAATATGATAATTTTTCGAAGTAAATGTCAGCAAGTTATCTAAAAATGATTATGACATATTTTTATTCCAAGGTAAAACATAGATACTTTAAGTTTTTTGCCCGAAGACTTGAAAAGCAAATTGGCACTAAATTAACTCATTATTACCCAAGGTGTTTCACAATTGAGAAATATAAATTAATTTCGTATCAGCATGTAGAGCAAGGTAAATAATAAAAGGTTTTATGAACAATAAAAAAAAACTTTAAAAAAAAATCGTAGTGTCAATTTCTACTTGTGATTGATGTAAGTGTTTTAAGAATCAAATTTAACTCAGTCAGATTCATACCTATTGATTCTGAAGACACCCTTTGTCTAGCTCTTCGTTTGACAGTGTTAGAGCAATTCTTTAGTTTTCAATTATGGTTTTTCAAAAAAATCAGTTTTTTCATTACATCATTTTTGTTCCACATTTCTAAAAAAGTAGCGTACGGGAGGCTCATAGAGATATATCCAGCCTATAATTTTGTCAAAGACTGCATTGTATTATATTCAGGTGTTTATGGTTTAAACGCTGGGAGGTAATTTCCTAGCAAGCAACAAGGGACAGTTGTACAGCAGGTCAGTAGGAGTACAATATTATGATATTGGATAAGATCCTTCCTTTATTTTCATTTATATGTACTTAAATTTATAATCTATTCTCATTCTATTGCTCTCAACTAAAATCTAGTTCTCACCTCTTCATGTACAGCGTCATTGTGAGTTTTCACGGCACCATTTTGGTAACTGAAGGGCAAATATCAAAATTAAAAAAAAAAACATCATTCTGCACGCACACACCTACAAAATGAGGGGCTGGTGCTCGTGCTCGTGATATTAGTATTAGTATTATATTAAATTGAATTGAATTGATTTGAATTGAATTGAATTAATTCAAATTAATTCAAATTAATTCAATAAAATGAAAAAAAAAAATAAAAAAAAATAACAAAATAAAAAAAAATAAAAAAAAATAATAAAATAAAAAAAATAAAATAAATTAATAAGAATTAAATAAAAAAAAAAAATAAAAAAATTAAAATAAATAAAAATAAAATAAAATAAAATAAAATGAAATAAAATAAAATAAAAAAACAAGAAAATTTGTAAAATTTAATAAAATAAAACAAAAATAAATAAAATAGTTAGCAACAAGGGACAGTAGTACAGCAGGTTAGTAGGAGTGCAAAATTATGATATTAGTTGTTATTTTCATTTGTATGTACTTAAATTTGTAATGTATTCTTATTCTTTTTCTCTCTACTAAAATCTAGTTCATGCTCTTCATGCTCAGCGTTGGAAAATTTCGCGATATTTTAGGAAGCTCACATAAGGAAAAATTCGTGAGTCATTGTGAGTTTTCGTGCTCGTGATCGTGCTCGTACTTGTGCTGCTTTATAAAGCTCACAGAAGGAAAAAAAATCGCAAGTCACTGTGAGTTTCCACGGCGCTATTTTGATAACTCAGCAGTTCCTTCAAATGACGATTTTTTTTTTGATCGACCTTCTACGATTAAGTTGAAACTTTGTACAGTTGTTTGTTATTGTCCAACATGCCATTTTACATATTTGGTTCCCTAGTTTTGTCCACGATTAACACTTGAAAAGAGCTTATTCAAAAATGATGCGCTTCAATAGAAAAACATATATCTCGTGAACGATTTGTTTGATCAAGATGGTGTCTTTGGTGAAGTTGCGGACAAGTTTTGGGACTTTCAAGAAAAAATGTACACTGTAAAAATATATTTTATTATTTACAAAAAACAAGCAAAATTAAAAAAAATAAAACTATCCAAATAGCATATTTTTTATATTTATATTGTAGTTTAGATAAAGTGCTGACAATATCTTTGAAATAATGTTAATATTAAGACACATTAAATTTACAACAAAAAAGCTTTTAGTGCTTAAAATGCCCAAAGTTGTTATTTACGAGATACTCGTTGGTTAAAATTTACTAATCGCATAAATTGAGTATTTTTTGCCCTTTTGAGATGTTATTCGTGAGTGACCAAACTTGAAAATATGTGTAACAAAAAGCCCAACTAATTACCTAGCCACTTGGTAAGAATAATTATTTCAGTAGCAAAAACTGATATTTGAAGAGCTACACAAGCATATCTTCAATCAGTCACTAACAGTAAGCAGTCTAAGTCGTTATCTGGGGAAAATAGTGAAGTTCGGACACAAACCTAACAAAATATCGCAAATGCTTTAATTTTCGTTCAACATATTACTAACGAATTAACTCTTAGATCATCAGTACTTGTTTTAAAATATAAAATTTGAAAAACATTCATTGCTGTAAAAAATATTTAGAATATACTTTCAGAAACTATCAATGTTACCCCGTTTTACAGATAAATTGGATTCGTGGATTTTCGTATGTTTCGAGGGGTGCATCGATTAGCTTGGGACCGAAGAGAGTACCAGAGCTGTGCCAAAAAGTTGAGCACATTTTTTCGGGACCTTCTGGTCTTATAGTTACCTCTATGGTTGTACTGTACCAGGGAGGCAACTTCAAAATCCTTTGAAGTGCTTTTTTCCTGGGAGGTTGCCTGTAAATTAATGATTACCAATTCGCGATATATTCCACGTAAAGTTGACCGACAATACTAAACCTCCCATGGACCTTACTGACTAATATAACCATTACCATTAAAATGTAACGAAAAGTAGTCTGGTTTTGAATAATTAAAACTCAGCTTTTTCATGATGCATTTTCAATATTTTTGCATCAATCGAACGGAATTTATAGGTAACACTAATGATTTCAGCAATATACTTTGAAGAATTGGGAACATCAAGCATCGTCTAAGATTCCACGACATTCCCCTGACGGCTATTTGGTAGTGAAAACTTGAAGCTACGAATTGATGAAGTTCAAAAGTTTTTGTGAAGAGCAAGTTACCACAAAAGGGGGTACTTTTTCAATCTTGGCATTAAACCAGGAAAGTTTATAGTTGAAGATGCTAATTTCAAATAACAGACTAAAGTGGTAATTTTTATACGATAGATGGAGGAGATGAAAGTCTAGAGTTGATAGTTCCGTTAGAGTACGGCAGTGTGAAAATTGCATATAGAAAGTAGATAGCGAGCTAGGACAACTTTTAAGGAAGGTACAAATCGGTTTTTTCACCTCTCTTTACCAAACTCCCCTTTTGGAGAGGGATGGTGAGGAGTGTCCCCCCCCCCCCCCCCGTTCAGCTGTTGAGATTTCGATAAAATTTTACAGATTTCTGTAAAAATTTCGGAGTATATATATTTATAAACTAATGAAAATTCAATGATTATTTTATGTGTTCCACACATGAATTTTTGCAATGTGATAAACAAATGATATATAGGCCTAAATGCTCCTAATTTCTAAAATAAATTCAGCAATCGACTAAATTTTCAATAGCCACCAAAAACATCCATTATTGATAAATAGCATATTTTTAGCAATGGGCCCAATCTTAGATCTTTATTTTAGCTCCATAGGGCAGTGGTTCCCAACCTTTTTGCTACATCGGTGCATTTTGAAATTTTCTAAAAAAGCCGTGGCGCACCAATATTAAATAGAAAAAAAGGCGGATTTCTCTATAGATAATGAAGTTTTTTTTTGTTGTTTTTATACCTACTTTTTCTATTATTTTACAAGCATTTCGATCACCAAAAATGTACAAAATAAGACAAATTTCCAAATTAAAAAGTGAAAACTCTGATGTGAGTCACGTTTGACAGATATTTTACATTTGTATCACCGCTACGATAACAGCGCCACGGGTGGCCGGTGGTTGGTTGGATTTCACTATTGCAGGGGGAGAGATTTGAGACCACTTCTCAACTACAGAAGTGAACAGAGGATGTATCGAATTTTTTATTATTGTGTGTGGCAGGATAATTTCTCAAAATGGGATTATACCATCTGTTCTCTTTTTATGGCCATACGACTGCGCCCATTGATTTAACATACACGGCGAATGAGAACGACCGAGTTTAGTTCACTCATAATCGCCAAAAGTGCAGGAACTCAGCGATGAGTAAAATTTGTCTCATGGTTTCCTGTGGAAAACCTAAAAAATCTGCCGGAAAATGAGGAAATTGACCAATATTTTATTCAGTCTCGGAGAAGTACCAATAGACTGAGTAAATCCAATCTTTACTTTTCTCAAATTTGGGAATTTTTCCCTGGAAAATACTGGAAAAACCTGGGAAAACATGAGGCAACTTTACTCATCGCTGAGTTCCTGCACTTTTGGCGATTATGAGTGAACTAAACTCAAATTTGGGTCGTTCTCATTCGCCGTGTACGACGGCTATTTATCCAAGATTCGCTCTTCAAGCCGCTGCCATAAAATACTATCTAAGTCACACACCTGTGTAGAATCCTTATGAACGGAGTTGCAGCGCGCTTATGAGCGGCGCGCTTCGCATCAGGGCACCGCGGCGCTCAGGTTGGGAAGTACTATGGCATAGGTCAATATTAAAGCCATTTCCTCTATGTGTCGGACTCATAGTTCTTATGT